AGTAGATACATATGGTGTATAAAAGCATATGGTAAGTAACTCAAAGTGTATGGGGGCAGCAATGGAAGGAGGATCCCTCTGTAGCTCTTGTAGCCGCTAGTCAAGTTAATTCCTGGTCTTTAGCTCTTGCTTGATATGGTGTTAGTCATTGATGAAAGACACTTTGGAAATTCCTGCTGGCTCCACTAGCTATAGCTCTGTGTGTGTGTGTGTGTGTGTGTGTGTGCTTTTAAAAATGTAGTTTTTACCATATAGTGTGACACATTATGGTATGTCACCATACACATCCAACATGTCATGCTTTTCATAACAATGGATTTTGACTTTCTTGAATACTTGAAAAGCCATGGATTAGTGATTATCCTGTGACTTTTTAATTTACTTTTCAAAGAGTGTTGCAAAATATGTTTCAATATTTTCAGGATAAGCACAGGACAAGATTAATCATCTTTATTTATGACTCATTCATCTGTCATTATGCAAAATTTTAAATTCACCTCAGCTGAATGTCTTAGGGAACGAAATGGTTTCTTGGTGTAAAAACCGATGTCTTTGATTCTTTTTGACACCCATTCTTTCTGCTTTCACTGGGTCTTTCCTGTGCCGGTCTGTCACGGGTTCATGTGCATGGTCCGGTATTGGATGGTCCAGAGTCTGTGCCATCTATGACCGAAAGGACTCTGTGTCACATACCTTTTGTGATGGCAGATGATGTTTTGTATCCCAGCATATGTTGGTCGCCCGATGGTCCCATCCTAAGGTAATTTGGGAAATATCTACTTTTATGATCTCAGGTGTAGATTATTTAAGTTATTCTAGTCAGTGCTGTGGGAGGTACCTGGTTCTAGGTAGTATTGGGTACAGGGCAGGATACAGACTGGATGGGATGCTAGTCCATCGCAGATCCCACTCGTACACAATCATACATTGTTGGAAATGTGCATAGATGCTAATTAGGCTTACTACATGTCTTTGGACTGTGGGAAGAAGTCAGGGCCCCGACAGGAAACCACAGATAACATGCAAGGCCCAAACGCGCAGACTGCAAGGCCCAAACACGCAGACTGCAAGTGAGATTTTAACCCACAACCCTTGGAAGTGTGAAGCAAATTACTGCCATTTATGCCATTGATTATCACCACCCATAAATCTTATTTTACAAAATGATAGAAGGTTCTATTCACAGAGGATGTCAGAACGCACCAAATGGAATGCTGAACTCTCTCCCACGTCCCTGCAAGCATTTACAGATACTCTAGTCATTCAGTTGTACATTCCCATAAATTCTAAATTTACTTCTGCCATCCCAGACGGCCTCCTTATCGTCTCTGCGTGTCACCAAGGAGAAGCGACTCTGCTGCCTGTGACAGGAATTAGCTGAACGTCAGCTACTGTGGGGGAAGGGGCAGGTTATCGCAGAGAAAATCAAATCATATTAGCATCACTTAAGTAGTTAGCCTGCCCGGTACAGGTGACATGTCCTGGCCATCTGCTGGATGCAGAGTAATCAGGTTTGGCCCATAAGTGAGTGGTGTGGCTTTATTGATTCTCTTTGCTCCTCGGCCTTTTCCCATTCCCAGAATTCCACCACCATTAAGGACCGGCTGACATTTAGAGCGGTTTTCGTTTTTCCTGCCCTCCCACCTGTACTTCGAACTTCAAGTCAAAATGATGCTGGCTGCTTAAAATGCAGGGAATTTAATAGGATCTACTGCAGGTAGAAGGTTCTGCAGCAAGCTGGTGGATACCAAAGAGGCTTAACCTGTCCTTGGTCTGAATCCTGTAGCCTCATATGGAGAGCATGTACCCAGGCCTTGAGGTCAAGCTGTGGTCAAGGTTCTCATGAATCTTCAGGAGCCGCTCAGTGTCCCTGGCCTTTCCGAGCTGCCTTGGCTTCCTGCCTGGGGTTTGAGGTTTGGCAACCAGCGGAAAAAATGGTCACTTCTTTCCATGCAAGCCGAGCTTCATCTCCCAGCCAGGCAGCACGCAGAGCTGCTTCTGAGGACAACAGACAGCATGAACATTGATGGTCTGAGCCTGGGATTCAGGGCTCTGAAGCTCTCCGTGGTATTACAGCCGGCTAGCTTATACCTTTACATGCTGACTTTTGGTGCTTTTGGTTCTTTTCTTGCCTCCATGACCCTGGACTCATTGCACTGATTGTAAACATGGTTCTCTGCGCTTCTCCTGTGGCATGTTTTTCTCAGCTGCATGTTTTTTAGGTTTGCAGGATGCAAGTCCTAATAGTGTAATAGAAACATCTCAATCCTTTCCTGCTCCCAATCTCATGTCTTCAGAGGAGTAACTGAAGGATTTTCTGCTGTTTTTCTGAAGGATTCAGAGGGTCTGTGACCGACAGGAGCTCTGTCACCATGCTGGAATGATAAAGGTTTGCATTTCAGGTGTGTTCTTCTGGATTTGTTCCGCGATCAGAGCCTAACTCATCTCAGAACAGCTGTAATCCTCCTTTGTAATCTCACATCGCACACCGTGTTCCTTATACACATGACCTGAATGTTTAATTTTTCACAGTTTCAGAGTCTTTGGAAAATCCAAGGCAGTAGCTTTTTCATCAAAAATTGTGATGAATTCCTTCAGTGTCTATGCAGCCTTCAACACACTCTGGCTAATTCACACAGTCAGGCCTGCATTGGTCTTCTAGTCTGCAAGCTCTGGAATGTTGTCCCTCCCCATTTAACCTGGGACAGGGGAGCCCTGGTACACTTTGCAGTGTTGGAGTGGCGTATGGCGTAGTATTGTATCTTTGAATACTGCGGGGACTCAAGGTTGGCTAATGTTTTCTCTTGAGGTGTGCAGTGAACTTTTGCAGAATCATCCGGCAAAGTATATCGTGGTGGGGATTTATTGTTTGTTGGGATTTATTCCACGTCAACATGATGAATATGCCAGACTTGTGATTAAAATTAGCGATTGCCTGAATGTGAAGTGGGGGGGGGGTGGTCAGGATGGTACAAGAAGAAGCCATAATGGGGATGTGTGACGGATCCCTGATTTGATGAGTGGCACGCATCGATCCCTGACCTGTTCTTCCTCCTTATGGGGTGGGGGTGGGGGTGAAGGGAGGGGGCTTCCTAATGTGCAAATATAGTCAGTCCATCAAACATTATGACCTTATGGAATCAATAACTGATACTTTCCCCATTACATTTTACCTGCGATTGATGCGTTGAAGCCTTTGGCCCATTAACAGACAATAGCATAGATTACAGTTTCCATCCATGCTAATCATATATGAGTCTGGCCCACTAATTGTAATCTGCTCCTGTCACCCAATGAATCACAAAACTTCTTCCGAGCCGTTAACGGCTGCTTAAGGGTGACTCTGGGGACAAACCCAGAGGGAAATCAGCTAGAGAGTATGTGCAAACCGGGCTGGTTAGTGGATTAACCTTAAGACCATTCAGCTAACAGGTTTACTTTTCTCTGATAACAGTGCTGCCAAGGAATTAACATCATGTTCGTCTGTTTCGGGAAGTTCCAAGAGACCGCTTTGTCCCGTCGTCCTGCTCGATGCTTCTGGAGATTGAGTGGCGAATGGCGAGAGGCGAAGTTTAATGTGTCATTTTTTTTTAGTGCCATTTTTTTTAATACCAACTGAGATATGCGCATTCTGACGATCCTCCCTCTTTACACACGCTGTAGTGTTTACAGCGTTATCATTTCAAAGGCTAGGGATCGTGTCAAGATGTGACCGTTGAGTGTTTGAGATCCGCCTTCCAGTAAAGTAGCGGATATTAAGTGCAGGCACACGTGTCTGCTGTGGACGGGGCAGCTCAGATCAGCTTTGACAGCACTTGTCCCCAAGATGCATCACCAAAAACGGTGACGAGTCTATCGATACTCCCCTCTTCTCTACCTAATTTATCATCTCTTTTCTGTGTGTGTTTTAATACACACTGCAAAGCCCAGCTATCTGTAGGTGCCCCGTTGAACAGCATTTCCCAGTGTGAACGTCTATGTTACTGGTGTTATGTTAATTTTAATTCCACTACCATACATGGAAGGGCTGGCAGTGATGGTTATTAATTCAATATGTAGCCACAGAACATTAAACAGCCAGGTGCAGTTTATATGGCCTTATTTCAGTTTGCATCCTAAAATTTTTATGCCATTTAAATGGCTGAAATCAAACACTGTGTCCGTGGTCTGGAATAGTAGTTGACGATAATCTAAAATGATACTTGTGTGGCAAAACGGGCTCTGCAGACTGCAGCTGCGGGGCTGGTGCTCAGTGTGGCTCCACAGCATTGTAGACGAGCAGCAGATCATGTGATTTTGACAGTAGGGATGGGTGGGGGGTTGGGGGGGGTGCTTTTCGGGCAGCGCTGGAGCTGACCGCCTCTGTGCCCACGCAGCCCTGTCGAGACGTTACCCTCCCCCGGCACGGTGACTGACAGGCAGTGTCACAGTCCCTGTGTCAAAAGTCCGGTTGAAGCTC